CGTAGGGACAAAAAGCCTTGCGCACTAGTTTTTCAGGAGTAGGTCTATCTAGCGACGAGGTGAATATTTATTTAGAAATCTAAGCCATGTTACGATATTGTAATGAATCCCTCACGAGCAGGAGACCAGAGGAGTGTTCGGGAAAAAGGCCAGTTTATTTGAGCACTCCATAAACTCCGGTAACACTCCACTCCCTCCCAAACTCTGACTCTTCTAGCAAAACAGACACACTTCATAACTTTACACACATACTCGTTGACGATACTAAGTGGGGACCCCCCTCCCCTCTCTGCTCCACCAATCTCCAGCCCGCACACTGACTGACAGCGTAGCCGGTAAACAGAGCTCAGCTGTTTATTTAGCCTAGTTATATCTCCGTACTATAGTAGCTGCAATGGACGACTTTGAACGTGATTTTGAAGAGTTTCTTGTAGCTGACACAGACCCAGAGCCATACCTGTTTGAGCCGGAGCATACAGATGAGGAACTCCATGTGTTTGATGCTGAGTGGGCGAGAAGAGAGGCTGAATGCACAGAATGGGATTCGGTGCTACTGCTACCATCGCTGGGGAGATATATCACCAGGAGGAAAAGCGCCGCAGAGAGTGCATCACAAGGAGTGAAGTTGCGTCTTCTTTTCCTCGCAGATGACGGATCGGGTTCATTCTCTCCTGTTGCGTGGTAAGTGTGGTCCATTCGCAAATTTTATAACTAAAAAAACTTTTCACTACTCTCTATCGACGAACTACTTACACTCTCTGCTGTTTCCTCCTCCTTCTTCCTTCCTTCCTCTGTCTTTGTTGGTTTATTTATACACGCGAAACACGTTCTCTGGCTGGCTGGATTGTCCACTCGGTCTGCCGTATATACATGGCGGCGCAAGATGGCGACCTCTCTAAAGCAAGGCCCTTGCAATATATATATATATATATATAAAAGCATAATTAAGCATAATTATAAGGCTACAAACGAATTTTATTTTATAGCGATTATACACTTATATAAACATATTAATGGGTAGAATATTCAGATTCAGATTCAGATTGACAATAAACCATGCCAAATATTACACACTGGCCCTTTAACATCTATCTTGCTTCCAGTATGTCTGTGGTTCACGAAAGGTGCTGGAATTTCTTAAAAGCTGATTACTTCAGTCAGTTTATGTTACAAACATGAATGAAATCCAACAAGTCCTCATATTAAAAAAGGTCATTTGTCAATGTATTTAAAAAGAGCCTGCAATATTAGCTGAAGTCCATATCATGTCCAAGCTAGTCTCTGTTTGACTAGCATCCCTTTCAGCATTTCAGTCTCCAGTCGTAGAGAAAATAATTAATGGTGTACCTGATATTTAGCTAGCTTAATCAGCTAGCTACATCTAATAAAATGTGGCATAGCAAATAGTTACTTGTGGTTATCATAGTGGCTCGGTGACTTGGTAAAGGTGAGTGTGTATTATGGATGTGACAAGCAAAAACTCAATATTCTGATCCTGATTCAAAATGAAAACAACCAATCAGAGCTGAGGAGTCTTTAATGCAGCTGTCAGTCATGGCGATCACAGCTCAACTAATTTTAATATACTGAGCTGTGAAATTAGAAAGCTGGTCGAGCTGGTGGGCGGTGCTAGGGCCTTTGACTATTTCCAAACATTCTCACTTTACAGCTAAACAGTACACTACAATATGTTTCTGAAAATATCCAAGGCAAGAAATAGGCAATGCAGTAACAGAATCTTGATTTTTATTTGATCAGTGCTGCCTAGTGTGTCAGTTTGACCACAGTTCACAAGCAGTGACTGACATGATTGACAGCTGTTTTAGAGACTCCTCAGCTCTGATTGGTTGTTTTTGGTGCTCTGTCATCAGTTCTAGTGAATGTCATTAGACGCGGTAGGAAGAGGAGGAGGGATATTCCTTTTTTTGCTGTCTCATGTGCTTCCATCAGAATATAAGGACAGTTTCAGCAAATATGACACAAAGTTATTTTCATAAGTTATCAGCTGTGGCTTAAAAGATACGATACAATACGATATGATACGATAGACTACACTGAGATATGACAGGATATGCTACGACAGGATAAGCTACGCTATGCTACAATACCATACGACGCGATACGATATGATACGATACGATACAATACGATAGGCTACACTAGGATATGACAGGATATGCAACGATAGGATAAGCTATGCTACGCTACAATATGATATAATGCGATACGATAAAAGTGCTAAAAAGGATAACAATATTACAAAATACAAATAAGATGCAATAAAAGTAAAGTAATAACATATAAAATCTGTACACACTATATATACCTGTCACTTATACAGTTACTGTGTGATTGATAGTTGCATGGGATAACTGAAACACACACAATGGTGTGTAGTGTATTGAGTGTAAAGATATAGAAATGTAGCTCATAAATATTATTGCACATAAAGTGGTAGAATAAGGCACAGTAGGAAATTACACAGGTTTGTATCACAGTATAAATAGAAACATATGGAAATGTGTATGTTAGAAGGAAACTTACTCATTTGCTGAAGGAAACTCACTTTGACTGGAGTTTGACCCTCAATTAAACTCCAGTCAGTCAAATCCTACTCCTTCTACGGCCATTCACCACCCTGACTCACATACCTTAACTTTCCGCATCGCTATGACAACAGTACATCACATCCTGTCTTAGCACTGAATGTTCTAAGTTGTTTAAAGGTCTTTGAACAAATGGCCGACGCTGTCATTTTTCTGGACAGGACAGTCTTGTGAAGTGGCAGAGTGTTCTTTAATGAGAGGATGAAAAAGTGACCCCGAGCATTCAAAGTATTATTGCCATTTTTTTCCAAAATTACCATCACAGTGAGTCTGCTAAATGGGCGTACAATGAACTAAACTCAGAGAGAAAATAATGAAACTTGTTCCCATCCTCTTTTATGTCTGAGTGTATTTATCCACATGTGTGTGCGCATGATGCACAAGCGGAGCCATTTAAAAACACAATAAATAGGATGAATCACTTATTACGACAACTAAGGAGACAACGGCACTTCTATTTTTCCACTCACAGCTTCTGCATTATGTCCCAGGCTGCCAGGGGCACACTGCTGGCCATTTTAATGATGTTAGCTGAAGCTATTAAGGACGTCGTCACTGAGCAATGGCTGGATTTTAAGAAAATGGTAGTGACGGTAGCGGGGGGGAGGGATGTAGGGTGATCATCTAGTATCTGCGACGAATCTGTGTGCTATGCCATGCCCTCCAGCAGACACCAGAGCAGAGTGATGAGGGAGCTTTGCCTTTGTATCTAGTTGTAGATACAAAGGCAAAGCAAAGACAAGCAGGTTAAAGAAAGAAAGGGAGAAGAGAAGAGATACAATAAGAGCAGTGACTATGTCAAGGGCTGTGGGGGAAAACATGAAGATGGCAGCAGCCCACTCTTAATGAGTCATAAATCAGCTTGATATGAATCATCTCTACAGCGCTATTAGAGCAAAGTGTTTCGAACCTCATTAATTTCCATTAGGGAGCAGCTATCTGGTAAGTTTACTACTGCATCAAATTTTCTCCAAGCCGCTATCTTTATGATCTTAGAATAACTCTCACAGATTCCTTAGCCTCTATGTGCCTAAACAACATTACCCTCAAATTTGGGGTCAATCCCTTTAATTTCCAGCAGGGACGTGCGCAGACATTTTGAGGGGCGGTGACTCATTTCAAACTGCTCTGTCCCCAAACCGCATCCTAATGTTGGCACAACAGATCAGACAAAATAATATATGAAATATAGAGCCAATGTAGCATTTATCTAAACGAATGAAAGCTTTACAAAACTTCAACAAAACTTGCAGAGGTAACTTTTGTGTATACCCGCTGGAGATAAAGTATTTAAGAAGCGGCTGTTAGATATTTCACTCGTAATGAAAGCTCCTGCTTTGAAAGCAACTTTGCAAAGAAACATTTCCTTTAGCTGCTTCTCTCAGCTTTTTCCTCTATGTGCCTCTGTCACCTCTGTGAGGGCACTGTCACTGTAAGCAGTACGCAACATCCAGTGCAAAGCATCACTTACAAAGCTACATTAAGTTTAACTCACCACAGTTAAGCAACTGTGCACCGCACACTATGTAATGGAAGGTGATTAAATCTGTATAAAAGAGTTTATGAGCATTATAGAACTGGAAATTTCTCTAAATGTCATTCCACAATGTAAGGGTTCAAGGCCAATGGTTGCAAGAAACTGCTAATTAACTGAGCAATTGGAGCCAATTAAGAACAAAACACCACACAGTATAGGCTTAGTTTGCAGGCAAACATGCAAACGAACCATAACTGCGGAGTTAATCCCCTGCAAAACAACACAGGTTATTTATTTGTGATAATTAAAACATTTATGTATCGTTCATTTAAACAGAAATAAAAAAAAATGTACGTACAGGTCATTTAAGCAGCAAGAAATGCAGAGAGGAAGAAAGACGCAGAGGAAGGATTTGTGGAGCTCCTCCATTGACAGAAATGAATGTTGACTCTGAGGACGATGACTTCATCGCTCAGTCAATGGGAGCTTGGCAGGCTTTCCACAATCATAATTATAAGAAAAACTGCAGCAGCAACAACAACAACAATAGTACTTGTAGCAATTATATTAATCATTATTACGTATTTGTTTGGTAGGAGTGCACTTCTACCAGCTAGGGCAAACGAGCAGCGACTGGAGCCACTGGAGCCTCTACACTCACTATGTCTCTAATTTGCAGTCGCATACAGTGATGGAGAAAACCAGCCATGCTATAATGAAGCCATGCTATAACTCCTCTGTCTTAGCACCTGTCTGCTTAACTCTATCCAGTCAATCATTCACTCAAGTGCAGAGCACCAATTAAAGTGCACTATTTTAATACACTACAGGAGCACAGCATTAGACTACTGATGTGCTCTTGGAGGTGTGAAATCTATATTGCCTGTAAATACCCGTAACATCTCCTGTTTTCTTACCAGAGAGGTGAAGATGTAAGTGTAGTAGACTGACAGCATCCCCAGCTCTGATGCCTGCAGAACAAAAGACAAGAAGGACAGGAGGGGAGAGATAAAGAAAAAAGCGTAAGCGAAAGGAGGCACAAAAGGCACACAACAGAAATTCGAGGAGTGTAGTTTGAACAAAACGATGTTAAGATGGAGGTCAGAGAAACGGAGGGAGGTGGGGAGTACAAAACACAGAGCACAGAGAGCGAGTCGGGAATAAAGGGGCATGGAGAGAAGTTGAGAGGTCAGTGATTCAGTGTAACTCAAGCTCCACTCTGCCGCAGACAGATCAAATCCACATCTTGATAAGACCAGACACATTCTTATCTGACGATGGCTCTCAATGGAGCAGTTAATTTCTGAGGTGCATTAGTATGCTGCTCGACACTCTGTCTTACAATTTGATTAAATCAAAGTCACAGTGAGGAGCAGTTGTGAAGGACAGGGTGAACTTCTCATACTTTCATTTCATTAAAGTTATTAGCAAAAAAGAAAATCATCGAGCTATAGGCTTCTATTTAATCACACTGTGATGCACGTCATGATTAAAATCAATAAATATCAGAGTAGATATATATCTCAAACCAATCAGTGCCAAAGATCGTCCTCTTTTGTCCAAGAACATGTTAATACAAATCAGCATTTAAACCTGGGTGATATCCTTCCTGAGCATAAATTAACCCTTATGCTCCTTCTGAGACGCTACTCAGAGAGTGTCTTTTCTGCACCTGGCTGCGCTGAAATTTACATATTACCATAATAAACAGCTTCCACACTAACATTGCTGTAAGGTTGTGTAGCATCAGAAAGCATTTAATAACTGATATTTAGCTGTCATTTCTGCAAAAAGTGTAACCTCTTAAGTGTGGGTGTTGGTGTGCCATTAGGAGTGTACGCCACTCAGCTGTTGAATATTCTGCCTAAGTGTTCTACAGAAGCATAAATAATAAAAGAGGAAGAAGTAGAAAGGCATCACTTACAGTACAAAGCAAAAACATCCAACTACAATTTTCACTATTAAACTCTGAGTGACCTCTCATGATGTCTTTATTAAGCTTCCTTCTGTGAGTATATTTAGCATGCTATAACTCTGAAACTACTTGTATGATGACTATGTAAGGTAATTATTATGCTTCAGGGAAGGAGTTTATTAGTATCTGCCCTGGGGTTACACACAGTAAGTAAAGTTAGCTAATGGCACAAGGTTGTTGATATTTTTAATGCAGTAAGTAATATTTCAAACACACTTTTCTTGGGTGACTTTTGCCTTTAGAGGGATAGTTACGATTTTTGGAAGTGGGGTTGGGTGAGGTACTTATCCACAGACAGTATATTACATACAGTAGAAGTCAGTTGGCACGCCCCTAGTTTAGAGAAGCAGGTGGGAGTCTGACACAGAAGCTAAGCAATGTACTGCTGTGTATGGAGGTCAGCCACAGAATGTATTTTCGGCACCTAAAAATTTTTATATCACGTTAAGGTAATGCTATATTGAGAGTATTTTCATCAGACACCTGCTACCTTTCCATCAGACAGCTCATTCCGGCTGGGGAGCAGTTCCCCATCTTTGCTCTCGTCAAAGCCACCAGACTCCACTGACAAAAAATGGTAATTTTGTCTCACTGAACACAAAAGCTATTGGTCTACTGCTGCTTGGGTCAGTTAGTCAGTTTGTGTGACTTTGCTGAATCAGAACTAACCCTTTTAAACACCAAAGTCACACAAACAAACAAACAAATACAAACAAAATGACTGAGGTAGAGGTAGACCAGCAGCTCCTGTGTTCAGCAATGTTAAATCACTGCTTTTCTCAATGGAGTCTGGCTTTTAGGAGAGCGACATCACAGCTTAATTTTCCTGTTACATTAAGGTAAAGCATTGAAAATACTCTAAATATAGACCCTTTTACTGTTGGTAAACAGTATGATGTTTATTGGTGGGCGGGGCTTAGCTGGAGGCAATCAATTCTGCACAGACATTGGCTAACACTAACTAGTTCTGTTGGCTTGTTTTAGACAATGGAGGAGGAGGATGCAATTCCGAAATTCTCATTCTGAGTGTCAGTTCGCACTCTGGCACAGAGCGCAGAGTGGAGTGAATGTGTGATTAACTTAACCAGTTGTTAATTCATATAGAAATATAACGCTCCACTTCTTTGACCAACAGGGCTCTCATTTTAGTGTAGACCATCAGACTGAATTTAGGAACACGCCATGTCAGGTCACTCACTCTCCGAGACCGCGAGTGTTACTTGAAAGAGTAAACACTGACCAACGGGACCAGACTGGCCGACGCATATGCTCTCACTCAGAGGATGAAGGATTTGACAGGACTGCCGAAAGGTCGAATGGCCGACTTTGTGGTTGAATACTACTGTTTTGCTATCAAAGCTAACATTAGCTAATGCGCTAAAAAGCTAGCGTTACAGAGTAATCCAATATTCCTCTTAATACCTCCCAAATTTCTGATGAAGTGTACCTGATAACCTTTAATACACATAACATACTTTATCCCGACAACAGTAAATACTTTCCCCAACCTGATATGAAGTGTGCGCTGCACATGCGAGCACTGCATCATTGTGTCACATTTAACCACAGCTGTCTTCGTTTTTGTTGACAGGCAGTGGTAGCTGATATGCGATCAAATTTAAGTTTTGAGTCATGACTCCTTCTATTCTGGATCCCAATGACATGACAAGACGACATTTCAAGACTCCTATGTAGCCTACACCCCTCTGGTGGTTTCTTGTGTTTTGCCTCCAGCTGACGAACTGACGTTAATGTGACGTCTGCCGTAAAATGGTCTATAGCGTATACTTAAACTGATGTTGATTGTTTTCGGTGGCTAAAATACGTTTTGTTATTGACCCCATCTGGGGTTGCTTGGCTTCGATGTCAGACTCCAGCCTGCTTCTCCAAACTGGGGGTGTGCCGACTGACATCAACTATACTTAATACACTGTCTATTCAAAAGTATCCCACAGAATCCAACTTCTAAAATCTGAACCGTCCCTTTAATACCTCACCAAACAGACACTGACATTATGACCCAAATCGCCTTTGGTTGCTGCCCACATCCCATTCAGAAGATTCAATGCAACCAAAACACGCAGCTGATGGAAAATATCCTTCTGGTTTCCTTTCACTGCATTCAAAATGAGCTTCCCTGCCTTTTTTCTCCCACTTTTTGATCTTCTTGTTGTTCTACCGCAGCTTTTGGTCAGAGTGCACACGGTTTGCACGCCCCCATATACTGGGCTCACTATCTATCCCACTCTGGTTCTGTATAGCTGTGCACAACAGTGGAGGCCTGACTGAACGAGATTACATTCACAATGCCAACACTGCTGACCTAAACCCCTCTGAATGCTAAAACCTCAGAGAGTGAGACCTTTGTCTGACGAGGGTTTGATGTAAGATGTAAACAGACACATAAGGGGGAATGTCTTGCATGACAAAAGACGATTCTGTCCCCTCAGACAAGCTGGGCACTCTTATCACCATCTCAGAATGGCATATATATATGGCCTGGGCACAGCTTTGATATGTTTGGCAACAAGGCACTCCTCATGAGAGGCGGGACTGCCAACTTTCCCCCACCCTGCTGTAGGATTGTCTCCTCACAGACAGACAGAGACAGACAGTGTGAAACATAATGGAGACAAAAGAGTGAGCGATAGAGGGATGGGTGTACAAGACCAAATGAGGAGGGAGGTGTGAGGAAACAAAGTGAAATAGTCTTCTCTGGGGCAAAGAACAGAGAGCGTAAGAGAGAGCAACTCCATATCGAGACGGAGGAGACAGACGGAGAGAGAAAGGGAACAGAGTAGGAGAAAAAGAAAGACATCCCACTGTGGGCTCCCGCTGCTCTGTGGCCCAGGGTTACCAGGGTTGCCATGGTGACTGGATGACCATTGATGGCAGCTTGATTGAGGTGAGAGACTGAGACTGAAGACTACTGTGAGATAGAGAGTGAGACTAAAACGGCAAGAACAAGGGGTGAAGCAGGAGAAACATCTCTCCTTCTGTCTCCAGTTATCACCTCCACTCTAGGCATCCATCCATCGTCTTCTAGAAATAATGAGGTGCGTATTAATTACTAAGAGGCCATATGCTGCTGCCAAACACCCTCACTTCCTCCGCTCCCATGATCGCCTTTACCGATGACATCAAGGCTCTTTACAATCGTAAGTCTCCAGTCAGGAGAAGCTTCAGCAATATGTTGGAGGTTTTAATAATGTTCTGAGACGTTAATTATTCGTATATGCCATTAGAGAAAACACATACAGGTCATATTGTTAAGGCTAGTGACAGAAATAGAAGTTGATGGAAAGTTTCTCCACTCACTTGATGAACTTCATGGCTTAATTTATAATTATATTTCTGTGTAAGAGGTGTCTTTCGAGGAGGAACCGACAGATGGATGATAGATTAGAAGGACATGAAAGAATCCGTCCACTTGATCTACCTCACTGACTTACAGCACAGCTTGTTTTAATCCGCAACATGAACTGTATTAGAAAGTAGACAAAAGGGCTCCTTCATTTTATGAGTCTGTCCTTACTCACACTAATCCACTTAACTGTGCAGAATTCTCACTTATGGCAGATGAATCATTGGAGTACAACTTGATTTAATGCTCTCATGCATGTAATTTGATGTAACAGGTTTGTTTGACAAGATTGCCTCAATTCATTTGCCTTTTATTTTGGAGTAGGTTTTTTGACTCTAGACTCTGTAACCCCTCTGTCTTTTAAAAGCTGTGCCCACTGCCAAATGTGCATAAATTCATGTAATCTGTCTTCTGATTCGAGACGGCAAATGGATTATAGCGGTGAAAAGGATATTTCCCTTTTAAAATGTTCCTCACACTGTTTGTGTGGGGAATACAACCTCTACTTTTACAGGTCAAAACTGGAGACGAACCAACTTCCAGTTAAAGAAATCCTTCTCCGTATATACAATTATTTTTAGCCTTGAACACTTCTTGCCACTGGCATTTTTCAGTTACTTTTCCTTGTTGAGATCTATGAGAGTTAAAAGTGTGGATCCTGGGAATTTCCTATCGCTATAGAGCTCCAGACTACAGACACGGAATAAAGACGAGTTATCGGTGCATGAATAACCACAGCTATCATCTGAACCATACTAACCCGTTCCAAAATGATATGTGACATGGTGGCATTGGCATCGACTATAATAGTGGCAGTCTTGTCATCTCGGATCTCCTTCAGGAGCGGGGTCGGGTCGTTGCTGTCGTCAAGCATGCGCACTGACAGAGTCTCCTTAGAGATGAGGAACTGCCGGAGGAGCTGCTCCAGGTTCAATAAGCCTGCCGGTAAGACACACACACACAGACACACACAAAGAAAACACATAAGAGGGTTATTTGTAATGAAGGGAAGACACTCCCAAGGAGGTGCAGTAATAGTCTTTTTAAAAAGTTGATAAAATACATCGCCAAAAAGTTAAAGAAAGTCAAATGAGAATTAAGAGAATGATGGTTCATATTATAAATGCAATATAAACTTAAAGGAGCAGTGTGTGAGAGGGACTGAGCGGCATCTAGCTGTGAAGATGGCAGATTGCAACCTGCTGAAACTCCCTCCAATTAGAATTCCATCACTGTTCGTTGTTCAGGAAGTTTTTCTGGGAGCCCAATTATCCACAGAGGTTTCGTCCATCTTTAAAACAAACACACCTGGTGATTTAAACTGGTAAAAAACACTGAATAAAGCAGGTTCAGGTTACAAATCAGTGTTTCTTGGATATTGTTCGGCTTGTCGGAGACAGGTCGCTAGCCCAGCACCTGCTAATGTGTGCTCACCTTTATGCTCTGATAACTTATCACCTTCAAACAAATGCTCAAGACCTGATTTTTGGACAATCAGACGTGAACATTTCGAATCAACACTGTCGTTATTTCTGGTTAATCTGCTGTTAACCTTATGTCCTTGCCCTCTGCATGGGTATGTATGCAATATCTGTTTTGCTAACAGCATGGCTAACTTTCTGTTGCATGGCTTGTGTGTTAGTGCCTTTGACCACACATGATGACTATTGTGTCTATGTTTACTTTCTATTGCTGCTCTGCATGCCTGAATGTAATGCTTAGCTGTGCGTTGGTGCCTCGTGTTGCTTGCATGTCTGTTTGTGCTAACATGCTGTTTGTTGTTGTTGCGTTACTGTATTGAACTGGTGCTCTGCTGTTGCTTGTTGCTTTGCCTCTGTTCTACCTTGACAATTTCTAATTGCTGAGGTTAATGCTGTCTTTATGTCTTTATGTTGTCTTTGTCCTGTGAAATTTATCCTTTTATTGGTTTCAAAACATCATGCCTAAGGACAGTTGAAAATAAGCCAGCTGGCTAACACTGGCACATTTACAGAAATGTTGATTAATGTGCGTTGTCCTTATAAATGAAATAAAGTAATAACTTAAGATGTTCAGAAGGTTTTTACTGGGTGCCAAATTATATGTAGAGGTCCCTTCCCCTCCCAAATAAACGGGTAAAAACACTGAATAAAGCACTTTGACTTTGAAAAATCAGTGGTTTCCGATAGGGCTGCCACAATTAGTCGACTAATCGATGACTAATCGACTATGAAAATAATCGGTGACTATTTTAGTGGTCGACTAATCGGTTTGAGTCATTTTTCATAGAAAAGTACTATAAAATACTCTTATTGCAGCTTCTTACGTTCAGATATTGGCAGCTTTACACACTCTCCCATGACGGTGAACTAAAACCCTTTGGCGTGAGTACGAAACAAGACATTAGATGATATAATTTTGGGGTTTGGGAGAGACAGACCGACATTTTTCAACATTTTAACACATTTTTCGGTAAAATGATTAGTCGACTAATCGAAGAAATAATTGACAGATTAGTCGACAATGAAAATAATCGTTATTTGCAGCCCTAGTTTCTGATGCTGTTTGGCTCATCACGGAGGGGCTGATGGGAAAACGTGAATGCCCCTAAAGCCAGTGTTTTGTTTGTCCATTTTGGGCTTCTATAGAAACATAGTGGTGCAACATGGCAGACTCCATGGACGAGGACCCATTCCCCATGTAGCTATAAACAGCCTTGTAAAGTGACAACATTTTGAGGTGATTAGACACTTAAGAAAATGCACTCAGTATATTATGTGACATTTCTGGCCATTTATCCCCTTAAATCCTACACACTGGACCTTTAATAATTGCACACTCTCCCCAAGTACTAACAAGTGTACCTCTTGTTTGCTTTTCTGCCACATTTTACAACAATGAATCCATACAGACATGTCCACGCAGAACAAGTGGACTGATTATCTTTAATTACAATTACTGCAAAGCCATCAAACACAAAGGGACGTTTCAGCAACTTCTCTTGTACTCCATCCCATGGTAATAGACCGTTTGACTCTACTGAGGTAAGTGGGATTTGCCCTAATTAAAGCATGGCCGACTTAATCAAAACGCTCCCGGCAGCATTTTACCAGTCACTCTGCATCCATATATAAGCCGACCCTGAGAGGTTATTGGACTAATTTTCCATATAGGAGTTTAAACTGATTCGTGAGGTGTTATATCGGGGAAAGACAACCTGAGTGAGACTCATGAGTAGTAAACCATGGCACTTAGGTGTGATAGTTACATTGGCCTCACCTTGGCAATTTGGCATATCTCATCACCCTCATATAACATTTCTTGATACTGGCAAGGAGAGTCATATGAGAAGGATGTAACTTTGGGGAGAAGGACTTGCATTAGCTGAGCATCCACCTGCTTTTTCCATTATGAAGTCATAATGAAATGGCACTCTAGACTTTGGCGTCCACAGCTTTTTTTATGTGATTCCTGCAATGGCGGCAGCAGAGTAGCTCATCTGTCACATGGAGACCAATTCTGGTGCAGCAATTTAAAGTTATCAAGCTGACTCCTTTAGCTTCTTCACAGCACATTAAAACAAGCTACAGTACTGCCCCAGTCACCGGCATCATGTCTAATAGCTTCTGTAATTATGTCTCAGTGTCTGCCTGTCTGTCAGCCTGTCTGTACGGCAGTATATCACCGTATGTGTTTGTCTTCCTGTACCTGGCTACCTGTGTCTGTGCACTCATGAGACATCACTCCTGGCTGCTGCTCGCTCGCCTGGCTGTGTCTCCAACCTGTCAGATCGGCTTCCTCTGTAGTATAACGCAGAATAACTTTGATGAGCTTGAAATAGCTTCTGCTAAAGCGCCCTCCTCGCCTGCCTCCTGCATCCACCCTCTGAAGCTTCTTGCCGCTTCTTGCTCATGACATTAGACACTGTACTAGATGCAGCTGGCTAAACAGCACACACACATTCACACGCAAATAGAGTGACACACAGAATAAAAGCCCGTATTCTCTTTAGTGTTTTGGCTGCACAGGATTCAAAAACAAGTCAGAATCTTTTTTCACTTGGGTGTTTTACAGCAGCCATGTTGCTCTCTTGCTGTTCGCTCTGGTGAACCAGTTTCAATCAAACGAAAACCATGCAGCTGAATGAAAAATGTCCTCTCCTTTGGTTAGACTTGTATAGGTTCCTGTGCAGAGAAAGAAAGTTCTGTGGGACTGTGTGTGTGCATGTTGTCCTGTAAAGTACGTTTCTCTTCTTTTCCACTGAATTTGAGGCGATCTGTGTGTATCTGTGTGTGTGTGTCCTTGTACCTCTGTCTTTATGAGGACCATGTTTATTGCCTTAAAAATGAGGTCATTTTTTAAGAGTGAGGATATTTCAGCTAGTCCTTACTGTTTCATTGGGCTGTTTGAGGGTTCAAACTGGTTGTATGACTAAGATTAAAGTTAAGTTAAGGTTAACGTCATAATAAGTTCAACCCACTTTTTGATACAATTCATGGTGGCCATTTGCCAACACTACTGATTCTCAATGTATGTACATTTTGCATTCACCTCCTTATATAGTAATACCAGGGTTTCCACGCATTTTAACCAATTCATCTCCATAACTTTTCCATAATATTTTACCCCATTTCCATTTTCCATAGGTTGGGGTAGGCCTATAGCGATACATTATTACAAACACATTTGTGCCACACCAGGCATTTGTGAATGAGAAAAATTCTAGCAGCTTGCAACTTTACTCACTTGTTAAACACATAGATTTTGAAAATAATGGGCGTAGCTATCATGACATCACGCACGGGTTTGTGGACTCCCGTGTTGAAGCCTCGACTTTGGCATTTAAGTCATTGCTATCTTGTTTTTTTGGAACTAGAAGTGACAACATTTGGGAGAAAGGCTGGCTCTGTGAAGGAGGGAGCGTAGATCTGACTGAGAAGCAGGGGACACCATCGGCAGACAGCCTGACACTCAAAGCGGCCCGCCTTTAATTATGTGTAACTTTAACCTTAATAAAAATTCAACAGTCAAGTAATATAAAAAAAAATCTGGCGACCTGTCCAGGGTGTATCCTGCTTCTCGCCCAGTGTCAGCTGGGATAGGCTCCAGCCCGCCATGACACTGTATCAAGATAAGTGGTTATGGAAAATGAATAAATGAATGAGTTACATAAAAATTCAACCCTCCTACAGTTGTCATTAATGTTGAAATTAGTTGTGGAAAGCAAATCCATTTTTTGTACCAGGCTGTGAATCTGTTTATATCTGCTGTAAGGTTGGGCATTTCAACATGAGGGACAGAGGAGAATAACTTGCCTCAGGTGGCCATTAAAAAGCAGCAAAGAGGAAGAACAGCAACCAAAAATGGCTGCAATTTGGGGGGACAATGAAGTCTTGGAGTTCCTTAGAGGCCGTACACATGCCGCATTTTTTGCGCCCTCAAATTCATTGTTTTCAATGTAGACACATGGCGGTACACTCAAACACCAGAGCGACGCTACTGTGGCATTCCCGAGTGCCTATTTTTCGGGACACAATGGCTGCGCCTTGAGATGAACTGAGTTCAACTTCTGGAATGCAGCAGCATGCACCGCATGTCATGTGACAAGGAACAACCAATCACAGCTGACAGATATCTTTCCCTTCTTCCGTAAGTATTAAGTCTGTGATAAACATGGAAAAGTTGATCATGTTAGTGCAGTGCTGCCAGAGCTTTTCATCTGTGCCACTAGGCGATAGGTCTGCACACTTATAAACAGCACCTGGAAGAAGATCAGCTCTGTGCTCAGGATTTCAGGTAAATAAGCTATGATACAGTGCTTGTTAAGGTTGCTTAGCAACCTCAGATGCAACCTGCTGCCGTGCTCTTGGAAGCTGTAGTAGTGCCCAGTACCTGACCTTGTGTTTTCCGGTCGGTTAAAGACTAGGCATATGTATGGCCACTTACCCTTCAAGCAGAGG